GGAGTGAACCCAAGACTATACCACCACTATTACTATATATCTTCATGATCTCTGACCAGGAGCATCACTGTCTGGTTCTAATTGCCAACTACCAGAGTGCAAACCAAACTTGACCTTCTGAAAATTCCACTAGAAGGTGCCTTAGCAGAAAGAGACCCCCATTACTATTTGACTAGTAGAGCTTTGTTGAAAGAACAAAGACCTAATCCTCAGACTTAATCATTCCATTAATTTAAAGGATCAATTCAATAGTAGACTTTTTTCGATGTTCAATCTTATTTTTTATTTTCAGTACCACTATTGCAAGGAATAAATAATTTTGAAGCCACATGATGATAATGTTTTTGGAACATTTGGATTCCCGTTAAATCTCAATAAGTTATTAAAAAAGACATTTTCAAACTTACTATTGGAATAAGGTTTGTTTTTGGTGCAATGGGTATATGCCTAAAATTTTGATCTTTGAACATAGATGGTTCTGCTATTTTCTTAAGAAAGAAAATTTATTTCAAAAAATTTTTTCTTAACAAAGAAAATATTCTTACTGTATGAGTATGTATATCCTTTCCCTTTGCTCTGGTTGGGTTTCCTTTTCTGAAGCTCATGCAATTTCGCCTGTCTCTGTGTTTCCCTTGTGCAATATCAGAAACGAGACAGTGGATTAGCAAGCAATAGTGATAAATCAAGTGGAATTAAGTCAAATAGTACACCTTCAACCCCTCAAGCGGGACATACTAACTTTCAGACAGAATCGAGAGTTTCCCCTTCTTTGCTGACAGAAAGTTCTCCATCAGCAGATCGATTGTCAGAGTCTAGACAAGACAGAGAAGTCCCTGAGGGAAATTTCACTGGAGAAGAGACACCATTGGTATGCAACATTTTCTCTTCATATGAACTTTATTTGTTAAGGAGAAAAAAATGTTGACTCTTTTTTGGTTTTCCATTCTCGGATAAAATTAATGGTATGTTCTTTCATATATTGCATTCCATCTCCTTTTGGCTTACCGAGTGAAATTTAAGATGAGAGTGTGGTGGGTTATATTAGGTATTTTGCCTTCTCTAATCAGTGGCTGCATATATGACTTGCACTTTGGTTATTACTCCATATGGTCAATGTACATCAACAAACTGATGTCTTTTCCTCTAGAGAGGCATCTATAACAAAGGAGATAAGAATGGATATGTCCTGAATCTACTTACTGTCAGCCCAATATATATCCTAGTTTAAGCTTGGAGTTCCTAGTATTGCAAACCTTTGATGAATATGCATAATGAAGAGCTCCTAAGATGCCTCACTTTCTTTATTTCCAGACTAGTTTAAAAACAATTGATCAGATTGATCTTCTGAGGGAACAGCAAAAGATTTTGTCTGGAGAGGTTGCTTTTCATTCTAGTGCTTTGAAGCGGTTGTCTGAGGAGGCTACGAGAAATCCCCAGAATGAAAAGATACAAGTAATAAATTTTTTTCAGTGGCCACTTCTGTTTCTAACTGCTTTTGATGTTTGAGGAAGATCTAATTTTCTGCTTCTCTTTGTTTTCATTTAAGTTGGAGATTAGAAAGCTCAGTGATGAAATCAAAGGAAAAAGTGAACAAATTGCTTTGCTAGAAAAGCAAATTGCTGATTCTATTATGACCTGCCACAACAAGATGGATAAATCAGAAGTCTCACAAGTGAGTTTAGTATCTCTTCTCTTTGCAGATCACTTCTGTCTTTTTATTGAGAATCCAGTTTTATGTTTTTTTTTTTAATTTTTAATTTAATTTTTTTGCTATAGACTATTGCCGAACTGGTGGCACAATTAAATGAGAAGTCCTTTGAACTTGAGGTAATAAATCTTATGTTTCTCGTGCCTAGAATACACATTGTCTATCTTTCTGCTTCAGGCCATGTTTGGTAACCAGTTAATACCAGGTTCTCTAGCTAGACTGATGGGTACCAATTTAATGCTATATGACGTAAGTATATCTAAAACAATTAGTAAAAAACATGAATAAGTAACATTATACTAAAAGTATGGTAGTTAATGACAATGATTACACATATATCAGATATGATGTCAGGTCGAGTGTTACCTCATCTCTGGATAAATAGATGCTTCTACGTTTTCCTTTGTTTTATTCCTGGTTATTGCTTCAGGTTGTGATCTTCATAATTTCGGGGTTAACAATTTGAATTAGCAAACATATTAAGGAGAGAAGGAAAGAATAAAGCAAAATTTTCCGCAAGACTTCGCTATGCTTTGCCTTCAAAATTTTCAATCTCATCTCAGGTTTTCTTCTTGCAGGTTAAAGCAGCCGATAATCGTATAATTCAAGAACAGCTCAACCAAAAGGTACAGAACACATGCTCATTTTCTGTCTGCCTCTGTGCATGAGTTTATGCATTGTTTCCAATCAAGAGCCACTTGTAAATTGGTTAATGATTTTGTATCAGACCTCTGAATGTGAAGGATTGTGCGAAACAATTGCATCCTTGAAGCAACAGCTCTCTGATGCTCTAGAATTAAGAACTCTCAGCCCTGTTTCCAGTTATTCACAACAGTTTACTGAAACAAACAATCACCTTGGAGAATATCAAATCGAGAGAGAGTCTGCAATGTTAAAAGATAGAAATGTCGATCTGATCATGCAAGCACAGGTGCTTTAACCATTTGCCTTCTCTTTTTTTCTTTAAGAAAAAAAAAACCACTTGTCTTATATGATTGTATCTTGACTTCTTAATTTAGCATTTGGTTCTTGAAGTTAAGTCATTCAATTGCTTTCTAGATGTTTTTGCATGTCTTACACCTTTCTGAATCTCATTTCTATCTTCTCTGAAAAAGAGAAGAAAACGATAAAACATTATCTATCACGATATTAGTCTCGAGATAGATTGTGTGATGATGCTTCCCCCTTCTGAGGAAAAAGGAACATTCTTGGAATTCTAATTGTGGTTCACTAGCAACTAGTAGCATATTATTTTATGAAATGATTTTTGTGCACTGTGATTGGTTTTTCTGAATGAAGAGATTTAATATCCACTTGTGACATTATAAGCAAGCCTATTACTTTTTCTTTTTGTGGATTTGCTTTGGTTATGCTACTCTTTAATGCTGAAATTGTTAGGGAAGGAACCAAACCCGGAAACAAAATATTGTTATAAGAATTTGGCTTAAGTCTTGGTAATGGCATGGACAGTTATGAAAATGGATGTTAGATGAATAGATGCGAAAAATTCTTATTTGCTGTCTTCTTGATGCTGTTTCTGCTGAGCTCCATTTTTCCTCTGAAAATTTATGAGAAGTTTTCTGTTTCAACATGCTGAATCTAAGTGTACAGTTTTCTTTATTGATAATGTTATTATAGGGAGATAGGGTTGCTACTCTCTATTCATGAGACAATCTGTATATTATACTCGCATTTTCATATTGGTGTCCTCCGATTTTCATCCCTTTCTTTTTATTGTACTCTGGATTTGTAGGATTTGTTTCATCAAGTTGAAATTCCTAAAATATTTCAATCAGATAGATCAAAATTTTTGCAACTGCCTGTCTATCTGACGTGAAACAGTAATCTGTTACCAACAGTTCTTGTGACCTGGAACAATAATCTTTAGTTACTGCATTTCAGAACTGTTTGTTTTCCTGACATATCTCCATGGAAAATGCAGTCGCATTGCCATGGGGAATGTAGCAAAAATTTCTCCTCCGGATGATGCAGAAGATGTTTAGTTAATTGGATTTCTATATAGATTAGGAATCATATTTTCATCAAATTTAGAAGTCAGCTTTATTTAAAACGAGTAAATCTCTAGCAATCTTAGTGTTTTATGCAGTGTTAAGAGTTCTAGTTAGGTTTTAAGTGCTATGTATTGGGGTTAAATTAGAGTCTATAAATACTCTTCTAATTTCTTCTAAGAGAGTCATCGATCCTGCATAAAACAGGTAGGTCATCTGAACTTTTATGTGAGGGTGTTTAGCTTTAAGTTTTTTGTGTAAATTTGGTTTTTATGTGAGGCTGTGTAGCTTTAGGTAGTAATATATTTTGATAAAATGCTGGAATTGCAAATATATAAATATGTAACTGTATATGGTAAAAAAATTGATAAAACTGTTAATCTAATAAAATTGTTTATAAAATATTATCATATATGTCGTCAATTTTACGAGGGATATCAAGAGAGTAAGCAAGAGAGTGCTTGGCATTTGCTCTATAAGCAGCTCAAAGCATTGTACCTCAATCTCCATGTTTGGTAATATAAGTACGGTGCTTACTAGGTTAGGAGTGACCTTAAGAACTTGAAAAAAAAGTACCCTGTGTCTAGCTTTTTAAGTTTTTATTTTTTTGTTTAACGATTTACTTGATATTCTCTTAAAATTCATAATATATATTAATAGAAGTAAATAAATTTTGTAATACATTTTTTTGTAACTGTATTTTTTCCTACATCACTTTCTCCAAAATACTTAATCACTTACTTTTTAGATAAAAATTATCTGCTTTAAATAACTCAAAGCACTCTACTTTTTGAAGCAGGTTTCATTAAGCAAATCCTAAATAAATTCTAAGCAAATTAGTTGGATTAAAAAAAAAAAACTTAAAAAGTCAAAATATGGTGCTCATTTTCTATCATTTAAAAACTTAGTAAGCACCAAGCTTTTAATGTTACCAAACATGAAGATTGACACATGATGCTTAAAGTAAGCAACAAACAAGTAATTCTATACACCTTTTACGTCTGTACGCTAAGGCTTTGTTTGAGAGAGCTAGTTGAAGTAATAAGATATGGTAGTTTATTTGGTCTGGATATAAGGTTAAAGGGATGAAAGTGGAATATAAATAAAAGTAAAGTATTTCACTTTTTTTTTTTTTTTTTTCTGGATATTAAATGAACAAGGGAGGGGAATGGAAAATTATCAATGTCCAAAAGACAATAATACCCTTATTTTTTACGGAAGATGCATGATATACAAGGTGTGGGGTTGAACTTATGAAAAAGAATGAGCATAGTAAATCATTCTCAGCAAAATATTATTCACCTTTATTTCCGTTCCATTCAGTATTCTCTCAATGTCTTGTTCACCACCATTCTCCTCCTGTTCTGTGGTAACCTGTCTCACAAACAAGTTAATTTTTTAACCTCCTCTATTCTCCATTATATTCCATCTATCCTTTCCCAAACATATCCTAAGGGGGTAAGTTTAGAAGTTTGAAGAATAACAAATGAAGGGATATGGAGGTGAAGAAAAAGAAAAAGAAAGATTGAATTCCCTACCTTTGTTTGGTTTTTTCAAAAAGATAGGAACAAAAATGCTCGGGGATAATTTGTCAAAATTTGAAAAGTTTCCTCGAAATTATTTTTCAGTATCTACTAATATAATAAGAAATAATTTTGCCTTTATATCTAAAAGCTGCTATCAAAATTTCTTTTCCTTCCATTTTATCCAGTAAAAGAGTTGAGAATACTGGTTCCTTCCATTTCTAGAATATGAATTGTCCATTGAGTGATTGCTTTCATAGACAAGGTTTTGTGTATTGTCTTTTAAAATTACTTTTTTTGCTATTTGATGGGTTTTAATTTGTCTTTATCATATTAGTCAATAATGGAGCTGAATATTGACTTGTCTAATCAGGAAACTGAGATTGAAGAGCTGAAGCAGAAGGTTGTTGAACTAACTGAGTCAAAGGAGCAGCTAGAAGTCCGAAACCAGAAACTTGCAGAAGAGAGTTCATATGCCAAAGGGCTGGCCTCAGCTGCTGCTGTTGAACTTAAGGCACTATCAGAAGAAGTTGCAAAGCTCATGAATCATAATGATAGACTAACTGCAGAACTGGCGGCTGCTGCAAAGAATCCTTCCCCCAACCCCCGTAGAACAAGTGCAGTGCGGAATGGCAGGAGGGATGTTAATGTTAAGCGAAATGACCAAGCCGGGTCACCTTCAGATCTCAAGAGAGAATTAGCTTTGAGTAAGGAGAGAGAGCTTTCGTACGAAGCGGCTCTCTTAGAAAAGGATGAAAGAGAGGCTGATCTTCAGAAGAAAGTAGAGGAGTCCAAACAGAGGGAGTCCTATCTAGAGAATGAACTTGCTAACATGTGGGTTCTGGTGGCAAAGTTAAAAAAATCACATGGAGTTGATGCTGATGTTTCCGAGTCAATCAAAGAGAATCCCCAGCTAGACGGTTCAGGGATTGAAAAGTTTCGAGTTTGATGGTGTTTAGTTTTGGATTTGTCGATCAGCAATGACAAAATGGATACCCAGAAGCTTTTCCCTGAAAGGTGGTAGTGCATAGAGAAATGATATTTGCTTGTGTATTCTAATCCCATTTTTTCTTTCATCAATTCTTTTAGTACCCCGAGCGTAACCTAGGCCTTTTTTGGCTCTTATCGTTTTGCATATTCTCTCATTTCCTTGTTCATAATTGTAGAGGAATCGTAGGAAGGCAATTTAGCTAATTTGATATGATCCTGAAAATAAGATGGAACTTGCACTAGTTAAAACAGTGTGTAGTTAGTTGATGATAAGGCTGTTGTGTATTTAAATTGGGGAGCCCTCTTGTATCCAATTGTGTGGTTTCTTTCTTGTGTATTTAAACTGTTTGAGTGCCGCTCGGTAAGTTTGACTTTGTAACTTAAACTGCCATCTCATGACGGCCAATAATGCTCGTAGAACTGTAGGGTTTTATGGATTGGAAGCTTGATTTTACTCAAAACCGGGGTTGGGTACCTAAAAGTGTGTGTGTATATATATATATATATATATATATATAACATTGCAGTCAGATAAATTCGAGTTGATAATAGTAATTACGAATTCTAAATATTTTTAACAGTTACCAATATTATCTACAGTCCAAGTACTAATGCTTACATCAATATTATCTTATATGTGTTGTGTGTGTGTTGTCGTCGTCTCTATCTATCATACTCCAGTGTAAATGAAGAAAAAAATCTCAAGAGTATCATAAACAATTTTATTTGGTTTCAATTCATGCCATTATTGAATTTTAATTTGCAAACTATCATATATTTGTATGCAATAAGCTCTTATTGGTATGTAATATTGGTATATGTTTTAAAATTTCATTCCTTATGTACATCTTTGTTTATACATAAAACATGTGTGTGTATATATATATATGATATCTAAATATTCTTTTAAAAAATCACTTTTAAGAAATTCATTTCATAAATGTGTATAAATTCTGAGTGTGAGTGTGAGCTCACCTACCAAAAAAATTAATAATACATAATAAATTCGTATACACACAAAAAATTTAAAAGATAATGACGTAAAAATTAATTTTCAGGGAAAAGAAAACTAACAGTTGAATTTATGAAAAGTAGGGAAGAAGTATTTTGAGTTCCGTTGACTTAGCACTGACACGTGGCGATCAAAGAGGCCCGCCATTTGCAGGTCGGAGCTTGATGATGTCAGGAGTGTCCGTTAGACATGAAAGTGACGTCATAGGGGTGCGGGTGAGGTAAGAAACGGAATTGTACCCGCCGTACAGCCTCGTGGGGTGTCCAGAATTTGGAGCTCCTTAGTGGCACAGAATTCTTCGTCACTGCAAAATGAATACCATTTCCCCACCTCTGGTTCAAGCAATCTCTTTCGATTTCTGCCCAGATAATTCTCTTTTTCAATTAAAAAATCTCTGAGAAGGGGAAAAGATATATATATATATATATATATATATACACACACGCACATAAATACCCACAAACATACACAAAGTATATGCCAATTATAGTGACATGTTATAATATTTTCCCCATTTTTTTTTACTTTAATTTTATAATATAGATCCATGTATAGATAGATACACACACAACACATGTATTTCCCTTATATTTCCATCTATATATATTTATGAAAAGATTTAGGGAGCAATATCTTATGTCAATTAGCTAATGTTAGATGATATTTAGACAACGATATACAAGTGTAATATATATATGTCTTACAAGAGCATGGACTTTTAGATTCAGAGAAAAGATTTATTCTTGCAATGTTTTTATCATTTTTAGGAATAACCATTTACTTATTAGTTTTTTTTGTTCTTTTATGATTAGAATTCAATTAATTTTGTATAGTTTTCATATTATATCAGTCCTACTTTTCAATTATTTAATACGTAAGGATAAATGATATGAATTTTTTTTTTCCAATTTTTTATAATATTTGCTTATGATAACATCAATTTCGCTCTTGATTAATGACAATTTTACCACCTTCGTCGCTAGACTACATGTATATAATGTATTGCCACAATACAAAGTTTTATCTTAAACTCTATTTCATACAATTCGATCTGATTGTTAGTTTTTTCTTGAACCTTTTATGAGATGTCGTATGTTTGAGTCTATAGTGCTTTCATGCCAATGCCTTATACCTTGTGATTATACAGGGTAGTGATTGCCTTTCTCCAACTATATTCTCTTTAATTAGATGAATGAAATTGTACAAACATGTGACGACTTAATTATTTATACAGTGTATACTTAGATATCTATTTGGCTATCTAATTACTTCTCCGAGTACATAATTTAGTGGTAGTGTGTGAGCAGTAGGATTACGTTTCTAATGAACTTCTTCTTACATTTAAAGAAAATGTATATGATGGATCAATACCAAAGTTCTATATTTTCAATATTAAGGAGTTTTGAACAATTCTTGTTTTGTTTATAAGTCCATATTAACTTCAAAACATAATTCTTAATTAGTATATTTTAGCTCATACTTTTATAATCATACTCAATTTTATTAAATTTGTATCTGTACGTGCATGGAAAAATAGTTAAATTTGTCGTTACATACGTCATCAAATCTTTACAACTAAATCATTAAATTTGTCGTTTGCAAATTATTGGATAAGTCTGTTAATACAATATAATTTGTTTGAGAAAATAGCTACAAATAATAGAGAGTTAATGTAGACACCAATGAATCCAAATAATTAAAATTTTCAATTTATAATAATCAAATTTATTATGAAAAAAATATTAGACCATAAAAATGAATACTTTATTATCTGATAATATACTGTCTAATAAAATATTTTCAAGAATATAACTAGATACAAATTACATATTATCTATCAATGTCGTTTAAATAATTGAATATATGTAGTATAATCAAATTTGTATTCTCAAGAATCTAACTATATACAAATTAATATTATCTATCAATGTGGTTTAAATAATTGATATATGTAGTATAATTAAATTTGTCGTTTAGCAGAAAACAATCTATATGAATTATAAA